GGCGGGGACGGCCGCTGAGCTTGTCTGCGCGCGCGTGGAGCAGGTGAGGCGCGGCGGCGACGGCTGGCTCCCGGCGTCCCGCGGCTTGCGTTTCCGCCCGGGCACCCTTCCGCCTCCTGACGCCAGCGTTCCGGGGCCTGGCTGAGCGGTGGCGGTGCGGGGTACCGGCCCCGGGGCTTCCTCAGTAGGAGTCCTTGTCGCCCTTACCGTCGTGCTTGCTCCCCTGGCCTTTGTGCTACCTTCCAGCTAGGGGAAGGGTTAGGGGCCCCTGCCTAATGGGAATTGGGTAGGGTAGAGTTTAAACCCGCACTGACTTTAGTCCCGATAGACCTAGGAAAACAGTGTTGCCCTTACAGAATGATTTAAGGGATAAAAGACTCCGTACAGGTGACGTTTGGTCTTGCGTCTGGTTGAAAATGAGGGCTCAGTAGGTAGGTGCCTCTTAGCAACAGTTCTTCGGGGTCATAGTGTAGAGAATTCTGTGGGAAATGTTCAGAGAGTTGAGAGCTCTCCATAGGTGGAAAATTTGTATTGGGCATATTTGATTTTAAAGGTACTGCCCCCTTAGTTGACTAAAGATAAAATTGAATTAAAATTTCTGAGTGTGGTGACATGTTGACAATTACATAACGTCAGCGTCTATGAAAAACATAGCTGTTGTTTCAAAATAAAGATGAGAGTTTTCTTCAAAGCTAAACATGAGTGAGTGAGTGCCCATTCCTGGAAACACAGAATAGTTTCCATGAATTGTATGTCCCTCTGTGGAAGAACTCAGCTCAACTTTTGTAGTCACAGGCCCAAAGAAAGTCACAAGTCAGTGTATTTGCCAAATGTAATGAGGGGACAGCGAATGGATTACAGGGTTTTGAACCTATCTTACATCTTTAGTGTTAGGATTGGAAGCCCCTGGTCCATTAGGATAACACAGTCCAAGACTTATTTACCTGGTAACCATAAAGCTCAGAAACATTTGTCTGGTGATACATGACTATAAGGGTGTTAACAGTAACCCAAGATAATTTTGGCTGTTTCTAGATATGCGGCAATCTGTCTCTTCACAGCCACGAATGTCTGTATCTGGTGTATCAGTCTACGGTATATTCAACACAGATATGGCTTCTTCAGAGAATTTCTGATCATAGAAATCCCTGCCAGTCGTTTGACTCCAGAATAGAGTATAGCAGGAAATGAGAATTTGCGCCACCCAATGTGTGTGTTTTGCGTGAAGTGAGAGGGAAATTATGGGGACCATTCGGTCCTATTTCCCCTGGTCCCTGTGACGGTTCACCCGTGGATGCCTTAATTTCTATGGCAGATGCTTTCTGGATTTAAGTTGTGACATACTGAACATAATCAGTGTAACTAGTATTTAAGGGAACTCATATGCTTTTGCAAATTGGTTCCTACGATTTTGTCACTAGGTCTTGAATATTGTGATTCTTGACACAGACATTGGAGCTTCTAGTAGATTTTCCAGCTCGTATTATGCCAGACTCTTGCTGTTAACACAGCAGCTCCCAGCCATTTGCAGTTATTGAACATTAAGAAAATTGAAGCTAAATAGTACTCACGGTTCTGTCTTGCAGTTACGCTAGCCACGTTTTAAGCATTTAGCGTGTGGTGAGCTTCTACTGTGTTTGCATTGCTAGTATAGGACCTTCCTGTTTAAGTTCAAAGTTGTATTGGACAAAGTAGTTCTAGAAGCTGAGTTTCAAGTTCCACATCTATATAAACTCTCAATAAATGAATGTTGAAAAGCTTTTATTTCCAAACACCCTGACATAATACTTGATGTTTTGCAAGCGATTTGATTACAAAGGGTTTTCACACATGATTTCACTGTACTTTTAAGACAGTCCTGTGAAGTAGATAGGTAGGTGAGTAGGCATAAAAGTTATCATGTTAACTAGCTGGCAAAACATGGCCTAGACCTTGAATAGGTTTTATGTTGCATAGCAGATGACAGTCTTTGTCCTTGCGATGCTGTGTGTGTAACCAGGGCCCTCTTTGGTGTCAGGCATGTGATCTGCAGTACTGTAGCTGGTAGCTCTTTAGTTCATACTTCTGTGAATCATTTCAGAGAGCAAAGGTGATGAGGGGAGGGCAGAGCCGTAGACTGGCCTTTCCCTCTGCTAGCGCCCCAGGTGGTGTAGTGAAAGGGTAAGGACAGCTATACGTTCCTCCTGTGGTTCTCAACCTGGGGGTACTGACCCCTTCCGGGGTTCTAGTGACCTTTTCACAGGGGTCACCCAAGACTATCAGAAAACACAGATACTTACATTACAATTCATAGCAGTACAGTATAACAGTTATGAAGTAGTAACGAAATAATTTTATGGCTGGGGGTCATCACAACATGAGGAGCTGTATTAAAGGGTCTCAGCATTAGGCTAAAGATTGAGAACCACTGCTCTACTCCATTAGCCTGGGAGACCTACAGGACCACGGCCTTGTTAAGGTGTCTGCTGGGGTTGAGCAAAGCAAGTGGCTGTTTATTTGGGGATGAAGGTTTAGAAGAATTACATTTATTCTGCTATTTGAAGTCTTACCTAGTTCTTAGAAGTGGGTGCAGGAGGTGTGCCATTGACCAATCAGTCATTGAGTGTGAACAGACAGAAGTTTAGTCAAGTACATGTATATAAGGTATTTCCATAAGCTTCCTCTATTTTAACCATTTAATTCATTAAATTAAAAACAGTTTAATCCTGGGCTAAGGATGTTGCTCAGTTAGTAGAGTGCTTGTGTAGTATGTAAAGCCGTTTGACCCCTAGAACCACATAGAGTGTGCAGGGTGATATATATCCCAGCACTTGGGAGGTGGAGCAGGAGGATCAGAAGTTCAAGGCTGTCCTTTGCTACGTGGAGTATAGGAAATTAGCCCAAGATAAGTAAGGGTCTGTAGAAAAAAAAGTACTTTAATGCTTTAGTGGGTGGAGCCACTGCTCTAGCTTACTTGTATAGGAGTGACTTCCAGGGTCACTGCTTTAGGAGCACCTGTTAGGAGCAAGACCAGAAGCTTTGGCCTCTCTGTTCTTTCACTTGAATTACCTTTCCCTCTCATTTGTGCTTCCTTCTTTGTCCTTAGCAAATCAATTACTTATCTTAGCATTTGTTCACAAGGGCTGGATAGCTTTAGTACAGTGGTTCTCAACCTTGCTAACACTGCAAGGCTTTAATACAGTTCCTCATGTTGTGGTGACCCCCAACTGTAAAAGTACTTTGTTGCTACTTCAAAACTAATTTTGCTACTGTAATGGATCGTAATGAAATGTCTGATATGCAGGATATGTGACCCTGGTGAAAGAGCATTTGACACACAGAGGGGTTGAGACCCACAGGTTGAGAACCACTGTTTTAGCACATAGTGGAAGTCCAGGTTCCTGGCAGTAGAAAGAAGTTTGTTTGAGTTCTACCATGGCCTAGGCGTTTTGTACGTTGTCAGAACTGTAAGATAAATGCCTTGACTAAACTCTGATGTTAAAGTGATTTGAATCCTTTGTTGTAAGTTTAGCTGTGTGCTCTAGAACAGCAGCCCTAAAGCCCTCAGATTGGAATAATTCCATAAACAACCCCATTTACTATAGCTTAGCTTCCAGGCATTTGTGCATGTCATTCTCTCCGATTCATATTGCCATATGGCTTGCTGACAGTCCCGTCTGGTTCTTCAAGTATTAAAAGCCAAACAAGTTCTAAATGTGAGCTCATTTTCAGCGTTCACAAAGCTCCTTCTCTTAATCCTAGTTAAACCCAGTTGCCCATGCTGAAAATGTCAATATCCCTTTGCCGTGTGTGTGTGTGTGTGTGTGTGTGTGTGTGTGTGTATGTGTGTGTGTGTATGGTGTGTGGTGTGCACACACACATCCTAATAATATATAAATGAATTCCTAAGCTTTCCATTTTACTCCAGAGTTCAACTGGCTCAAGTTGTTGCCTCCTACGTCCTTTTTTAATCTGTGTTTTAGAGAATCTTCTAGCTGTGAGGGCTGTTGTCATTCTCTGCTATTTTACCTTGAGGAAAGAACATAGCTTTTGAATAGTTTAGCATTGCAGTTCCTCAGTGCAAGGGTCCTTGTTTTAGAGCCCAGGTTGGGACTCAGGTACAGAAGAACATTGCCCTGACTCTGTCTCTGAAGCCATGCAAAAAAACCAAACAAACAAATAATTTTTTTTCCTGTCTTTTGACAGTGCTGAGCCTGATGCATGCTAGGAGCGCCAGGCAAGTAAAAATGCTTGTTTTTAAAGGCCTCTCTCGTCCCTAATTAAAAGAAGTTTGGGAGCATAGACATTTTTTTGAAGCATACGTACAAATTTTTATATCTTTTTTTTCATTTAAGAAATATTAGTGTATATTCATTGTACAAGGTGATGAAAGTTTTCACTGATATTTTAAGGTTGGACCTTTTAAATCAGCAGAATCCTTTTATCCAATGCCATATCAACATTATCCACTGGGAGGCGGTTCATCTGACTTACTTGTGAATTTTGATTGTGGTTAAAAATTACAACCAATTAAGTGCTGGGAATGGAAGAGACATCTCCAGGTGCTAGTATGATTATTTTCCCCACATTTTAATGATGTTTGGTGGAAAGAACAATTTAGGTTTACTTGATGATATATAACACAGTAAACACACATGCAGTGGTGTATGACTCCCCGGGAGTCTGTTAGCGCTGAATGCACCATGTGGACGAAAATGAAATGTTCAAAGACTCACAGAAGTGTCAAACAGCTGCTATTGGGGCCAAAATCTCAGGACCAGGCACATGCCTGTAGTGACCCTGTGGCTAGCAGAATGGTTTGTTTTTTATGAAGCTGACCACAAACAACCTTGAACTTGTCTCTCAGGGCCATGGTCACAGAGATACTGTTCTTCTAAGAGCTTGTGAAAGCAAAATAGGTTTCATGAGCCGAGGGTGTAGCTCAGTGGTCAAGTATGTGCTTTAGCATGCGTAAGGGTCTGGATTTAATTCCTGAAGCTGGAATCAAACCAGAATCACTGTTACCTCCACCACAAAACCCAGTAGACTTCCTGCCTGGTTATGGCTGCTGAGTGTTTCTATAGATCTGTGTCGGGTGGGGAGACAAAAGTTCACAACCCATGGGGCTGCTGGGGCAGGACATAGTTTTCATTTTCTTTAAGGTGATCAATCCTGCCCTCTGTAGGCAGGGTAGAGGATAAGTCCTCAGTCTGTGCTGTCTTCTTCCTACATGTGTGCTTATTCATTTGACCTTGCAGTTAAATTATGATTTAAATTTTTTTATTGGTTACTGTTGTGTGAGTTATGTTGCTGATGTGTTTGTGGGCACCCATGGCACTTTTGTAGAGGTCAAATAACCACATTTTGGAGTGAGTTCCAGGGATCCACCTCAGGTGGTCAGGCTTCCATGGCAAGAGCCTCTGTGTGATGAATTATCTCCCTGGCCTTTAAATTATATTTTGAAATTACTAAAAATATTGAAATACTGCTTCCTTTCTCAGCTCAGAAGATAAGATAACAGTCCACTTCAAGAACCGTGATGGTGAAACACTAACAGCCACGGGGAAGGTCGGCGACTCCCTGCTAGATGTTGTGGTTGAAAATAATCTGGACATTGATGGTTTTGGTAAGTTACCTTGGAAGTTTCTAAATAAAGTACAGGGTTTTTTGTTCGTTTGTTTTAACTTTTAAATTGTAACATTATAATTAAATATTATAGTTTAGGACATGTTATTTTTTTGTTTATAAAGAGCAGGCTTGCTGATGCCATGTCACTTGTGTGGCTTTCTGATGCCATGTCACATGTGTGGAGATCAGAGGACAACTTTATGGAGATTTAATGGCAAGCGCCTTTACCAATCTGCCTTGTCAAACTAGCACTGTGTGTTGTAACAAGCTGTTCCCCGTGATTTGGATGGTGCATATTAGGTTTGAAAAGCACTAATCTTTCCAGTTGTAATTTCTTTTTGTTCAATATATTTTTTACAACCTTGGTATATAGTTTATAATTACACAAATCGGATGTTGACTGGTAATAAATCATAAGTTTATTTTAAACCAAATAGATGCTTGTTTATTTTTATATAAAGAACTTAAATTGTTTTATTTTTTATTGGGGGAGTTGCATTTTGAGACAGGGTTTCACTGTGTAGCCCTGACTGTCCTGGAACTTACTATGTAGACCAAGTTGACCTTGATCTCACAGAGAGCTGCCTGTCAAGCGCTGGGATTGAAGACATGCACCACCACGCCTGGCTTTAAAGAACTAAATCCTGACTTTAATGAACTAAATATTTGATTCTGTAGGACATAAGCACATCTTCAGTATTTTTCAGAGTGGTCCAGTGTTTTGAGTTTAGTTGTCAGTGCTGATAATTGTACTTCTTATATATAGCCCAAAATGGCAGAAGTATGCTTAGGGCCATTTCAAAAACATTGGTAATTCTCTCCACCAAGCCAGAATTTGTTAAACAGTTTTTTAAAAATGAAACTCAAGTCAGTAACTCAAACAGCAATTTTTAAATTGAAAAATAAATCCAAGGATACACTAGCTTGGTATTGATATGCTGTAGAATGACGGTGGAAAATCATCAGAAGCCTTTATTTTTAATGGCCAAACCATTTTGTTTCTCTAAGGGCAGAGAAGTTTGTATGCACAATAGAAAGATCACACTTTTGGCTGCAGAGATGCTCAGCAGTTAAGAGCTCTTACAGAGGACCAGGGTTTAGTTCCCAGCAATCACAGAGTAACTCACAACACCCTCTCTGATCTCTGGACATCAGGCACATATGCAGTACATTGATGTAAGTACATACAGGCAATCATTCATACACATAAAATAATTAAATTTAAAAAATTAGGAAAGAAGCACTGTGGTTCATAACATGCAGCAGTCTCAGCTCTGAACCAGAGTGTTTCTGCAGTGTTGTTGGCATTTCCTGTGAGATGGCGTACATACACAGTGCAGGACTTGCAGGCTGCGCGCTCAGGACCAAGGCTGTAGTAAAGTCACAGAATGCAGCACCATCTAGGTTGCCAGAAACACTTCAGATCCATCATGATCTATTTTTTTTCTGTTTTTATGTTTTCATTATATTCAGGAACATTTTACTGCTATAAATTGTTTATCACCCTTTTGTTCAGTTTTTGGGACCCCAGATAGAGTTGTGATCCATACTTGAAGAGGTTTTGGTCTAGGGCTGGAGAGCATTGGCTGATCTCACAGAGGACTTCCCAGCATCCACATGGCAGCTCATACCATTTGTAACTCCAGCTCTAGGATACCTGATGTCCTCTTTTGATATCTCTAGTACTGTGCGCATGCGCACACACACACACGCACACACGCACATACACAGAGACATTAGACTCATATACATAAAATTATGTATTTTTAAAAGACTGCTTTGGTATGTTGCGTCAGGGCATGGTTCAAGTCCTGTTATACGGGCTGTTGTTAGATCTTTCCTCTGCCATTTTCCTGTTATGCATTAAGTCCGCCTTCGTGTTAGTGCTTACTGAAGCTTTTCTTGTTGGAGGGAACGTCACTCTCATTCGATAGTAAATTCCAAAAAGCTGCCTCTTGGGTGGCCTTCCACAGGGTTTGTGAAGAACTGATTTTTTGTAATGTTTTTCTGAGCTTCTAAAGCTAATGTTTCTACCAGTTTCAAGGTAATTATGATCATTACCATTCATGTTTATACCACATCCTGGCATGTTATCTGGTGTTGGTATTGAACCAAAGCCTTGTGCATACTAAGAAAATATTCTATCATTTTATTATGCCTTCAGCTCTTATATAGATGTAAAAACCAATACTCATTTTTGTAGTGATATTTTGTTTATGTTTTAACAAATAAAATTTACCTGAAGATCAGAGTGCAGAGGTAAGCCATTAGAGGCCAGGGAGTGGTGGGCACACACCTTTAATCCCAGAATTTGGGAGACAGAGGCAGAGGCCTCTCTGGTAGTTCATGGTCACCCTGGGCTACACAAGACTGAATTTGTATAAAAGGGAAATGTACCTCACACAAAGGTGATCCCAGCACTTAGGATCCCACACCTTTAATTCCAGCACTAGGGAGGTAGAGACGGTAGTAATATGGCTGAGCAGAGAGAGGAATATAAGGTGGGAAGGGACAAGAGCTCAATGAAGTCTGAGGATTGCCCCTGCAGTCTGAGGACAGGATTGCTCCTTTGGTCTGAGCATTGGTAGATATAAAAGGGCCCTCTAGTGGCTTAGCTCTGCACTCTGATCTTCAGACAAGCTTTATTTGTTAAAACATAAACAAAATATCATCACACATTTCCCCTTGTTTATATGTGTGGCAAGTCATTCAGCTATTTTATATCCTGGGGTACCTGATGTCTCAGCATTCCCTTTTTCTCTCTGCCATTTTTCTTTGTGTCTTTCTATATAAACACTTCTAACAGAAATTAGGTAATGAAATGATTGATACAATGTATTTTTATGGAGTTTTACAGGGATGGTCTGGAACTCACTGTCCTTGTGCCTCAGCCTCTTGAGTGCTGGCATCACAGGCATGTACCTCCAAGGCCAACTAAACTGCACTTTTAATTGAGCTTTGCTGAAGTGTTCTCTCACAATGGATGCTAGTGTGTTGAAAAGTGAGACTAAACTCTGGGATCAGATAGATTGTGGTTCACAAACCAACATTGTCAACTCAGACCTGCAGCATGCCCCCGCCTCCCCGCTGCCTTGAGAATGAAGATGAGCAAGAGCCTAGCTACACACCGAAAGGAATACCTGCAGAGTGAGATGCCCGTAGAAGGCTTTGAGAGGCGATCTAGAAGATACACAGACTCTACTCGCTCATCTCTGACTGACTGTGAGGTCTCTCACAAGCCAGAGTGAAGACTAACACAACATTTGCTTAATCACCTTGAGCCTCTTGGCACCAGATAGTTGAACCTCTGGCCAGTCTTTTAGCTGGCCACTGAGCTGGGATCACACACTGAGGATATGAGCTTTAGAGGACTGGTCTACAGCAGCGACTAGATAACTTCCAGCAGCAGTGACCACCAGTGAGCAGCAAGGCGAGCTCCTTATTCCCAGAGTTTCCACATTGTGGTATCTGCATGTGCACAGACAAAGATATTCAAGATACACAAAGAGCAAGACATGACCTTTATTTGGAAAAACAACCAAAAAGCTGTTGACAAGGAAACCCAGATGCTAGACAATTTTTGTTGTTTGCTTTTTGAAACAGGGTTTCTTTGTGTAGCCCTGACTGTTCTGGAACTAACTAAAATGTTAAGTCAGGTTTTAAAACCGTATGACAATGTTCTTGGTCATGTTCTAAACAAACATGTCTATGTGTGTGAATACTATTAGCTCTCTATGGGAACATTGCAAAAGAAATTGTGTTTTGCTAGCCCTTGAGAACACTTAGGTGAAAGCTGTAACCAAGAGAGGCTATTTGTGTCATTTTCTCTGCAGATTCATTTTCACTTTTAGGAAGAGACACTTGTCCTAGACAATTTACTACAGAGATGCTTATAACAGAAAAGATTAGCAAAAACAGCGCCCACTTACAGAGAACCGATATGTAGTCTTAACTTCAAGACTGTCTAGTTGTGTAAGACAACTCCAGAGTTTTAAGAACTAAGCATCAGAAGGAAGTTTTTATTTTGGTTACAAAAGTCCCTCAACTGTATCAATTACTTTTCTGTTACCTTGATAAAAGACCTGGCCAGTTGTATCTTGGAAGGACTGTATCTCTGAGGCTAGCCTTGAAATGGTGTGTCTGAGGCCAGCCTTGAACTCCTGATTTTCTTTTTCCATCTCTGTGTGCTGCGAGTACATGAACCACCATGCCTGGTTTCTGTCATGCCTGAGCGTAAACCTAAGGTGTCATGTATGCTAGGCTAACATCCTACCAAATTGAGATACATTCCCAACTCCAGTTTATTAGCTTCTAACAGCATCTTAGAGAATTAAAAACAAATGGAACATAAGAAAACACAACCTCTTTTGTAGGGGTTTTGCTGTGAAATATTTATTTTATAGAGTGTTTGTGTAAAATTAAATTCACACTGTGGGTCAAGGTTGAAACAGTGTTTTCTCTAAACCCTTTTCGGTGTGGTTGAGTCGAGCTTTACTGCCTAGACTTGTCTGTCCATTCTGCCACTCTCACAGTGTTGTGACTTTGGACCAGGCCCCTAACTTTTACCTTGTTTTCTTACTTGTAGAATGGGGCTAATATTAGTATATGCCCCATAAGGTTGCTGTGAAGATCAAATGAGTTAATCCAAGTGTATCAGATCTTTTTTGTTGTGATAAAAACACCCTTTACCAAAAGCGGCAAAGGAGGAGTTTATCTTGGTTTACTACAGTTGCAGGTGGGAGGCCCCCGATAGTGAAGGAGACATGGCAGCCAGTGACCTTAGCGGGAAGCTCAGAGAGTATGTCCTCTACCACAGATGTGAGAGAGTGAACTGGAAGGGGAAGCCTACAACCTCTCAAAGCATGACCCAGTGACATGCTTCTTCCAGGAAGGCTGTACCTCCTAAAGGTTCCATAACACTCCCCCCCCCCGCTGTCCCCAACAGTGCCACCTACTAGGGTCCATGTGTTCACACATGCCTGAGTCCATGGTTTCTGCAGTATCTACCCATGTGATCTCATCTTTTCTGTGACCATAAGTCCTTCCTAAAGCTTATAGAGATTAAATTTATATGTTTGGCTCAGTTTTCTCCTCTGAGCTTAAACTTGCAGATTCAGTTCCCTTGTTTACATTTCTTTTTGGAAATCCCAAAGAAATTTAAAACTCAAATATTTGCTTTTTTAACAATTATTTACTCCCTCCACCACATGAGTATAATATTGATGTGTGAGTGCAGGCACACACATGCTATATAATACAAGGGCAGAGGCTGAGGACAGGCTGCAGGGGTTAGTTCTCCTTTTCCACCTTGTGCATTCTGAACATAAACTGAAAAGTCATCAGATTTGGCCACAATTGCCCTTACACACTGAACCCTGTTTCTGGTAAAAAAAAAAAAAAAAAAAAGAAAAAAAATCATGTTTTTTTAAACAACTTTTGATCCTGCCCTTCTCCTTAAACAGTCTTTCCTCCAGCATTTCCTAGATCAGCCAACTACTGCAGGCTGAAACCTCCTGGTACATCCAGCACTTCAGCACCTACTCTCACTTAGCCCTCCAGTAGATCCTCGTGGCTCTGGTAAGCCGTTGCATACCTGGACCTGTGAACCTGCTTCTGCTCTTGAGCCCTGCAACTTGGGTGATTGTCAGCACGCACATCAGCCATGTTGGTTCTCTGATTAAAACCACAAAGACTTCCCATTGCACTTAGGACTAAATCCGTATTCCCATCAGCCTAAGGCTGTGCATGATGTCCCTTCCTCTACTCTTCTGCTATCCTCCACTTCTCATTTGTCTTCTTCCTGTTTTGGTGATGCTGACCTCTTAGAAGCTTGAACTCAAACTAAACTTCACACCTTTGAGACTTCATGTGCCCTTTCCCTCTGCGGAGACACTGTCTTCTCTCTCCCATCCCACAAATGCTTATTTACTATTCTGTATCTATTAAGTCTATGTGTATTAATTTCTTAAGCCATATAGGGGAAACACGTAGCAGATGATGGCAAATGTTGTGGAAGAAATGCCTGGATTCTGGGATGCAAGGCATTAGGTTCAGGTAGTAAAAGAAATCCTCCTTTGCCCAACCAGCCAGGCCCTAAGTGGGGTTTCTCTGTTACTCCCAGCCCATTATAAGCATGCTGCTTGCAGTACCCAGTCTGCAGTAGTTTGTCACTGTCTAGTCTGTCCCACCGCCTGGCCTCAGGCCACCCTCTCACTGCAGTTACCACACATTTAGTCGCTCCTGTGTCCTTCCCTGGACCCTGGTAAGGGATACAGTCATTCTTAACTCATTTGTTGTGTATGAAGGAATGAGTGAATAAATGGTTCAGAATGGACAGTTGTGAACTTAGGAAGCAATACAGTGCATACCAACTTTTGTGTTAATAGATAATCCTTTCGGTATTGTGTGCCGCAGTATTCTGCCACTTGGGGGCAGTTATACATCTGTGATTAAATTTATCTAGCTTATCATTTCAAACTTTTTCTTCTGTAATTGTCATATGCCTGTTTTATGAATATTCAAGATAAGAGGTTCCTGTAATGTTTATAGAAGTCTGTATTTCTGCTTGCTGTTATGCTTACTGTTGCTTTTCTGATATGTTTGTTCCATCATCTTTTGGACAATGTGATTATACATAATTTCACATTTTCAGTATGTAACTTCCCACACAGCTGTATTCTAGGCTTCTTTTAGTAAAGGGGTTAGGTGTGTGAGGGTGACCCACTTTATCTTGTCAACATCATAAGTGAATGAAATGACCCTAATACAGAACTTGCATGTAGATAACTTCTGTCAGCAACACTCAGATTTCATAAATGGAAAGAGGAAATTTATATCTATACACTATACGTTTATTACCTCTTCATCCCTATGTAGCTTCAACTGCCTTTGGTGTCCCCTACCCTGTCTTCCTCTAAACTTCCTGTCCTTCTTCTTTTGGCTATTAATAACCCCCTGAGACCAACTAGTGCTGCTAATATATGATGGGTGTAGGGCCACCTATTGGGATGTTGAACAATTTACCAGGGACATGTCCTCAAAAGAGTGTGAATCGATCTCCCTCAGCATCCATCAACTGCCAATAGCTCCTACGCCAAGGGTGGGGCCTTAGAGGCCCCTCCTACATCCATGCTGGATTTTTGACTGGAGTAATCTTGTGCAGGTAATTACAGATGCTGAGTTGATGTGTGCAGAAGCTGTGTCAGGTACAGATGTCAGCATATCACAACTTTCTCCTCAACCGATGCTTAACATTCTTCCTGCCCCTCTTCCATAATGCTCACTGAGCCTTATAGTTGCTTATGTTGGCACTTTGACCAGTTATGAGTCCTCTGCATTAATCACTCACTGCCTACTGGAAAAACAAGCTTTGATGGGTGGTGGTGGCACATGCATTTAATCCAAGTACTTGGGAGGTAGAGGCAGGCAGATCTCTCTGAGTTTGAGCCCAGCCTGGTCTACAAAATGAGTTCCAGGGTGGCCAGGAGTACACAGAGAAATACTGTCTCAAAAACAAAACAAACAAACAAAATAAAAATAAAAAAAACCAAGTTTCTCCCACTAGGGTTGAGAACATGAGCAACACAAATCAGTGGTTCTAATCATTAGTCAGTGTTTAGAAGGCAGTTGGGCAGCTTAACCAATAAGCAAAACAACAACAGTAAATTCCTGCCAGGTTTACAGTAACAGGCTTGGAATCCCTTCTGTGAAGCCAGATTAAAGTCCAGTCAGAAAGTCAGGCGGATGGTGGTGCACGCCTTTAATCCCAGCACTCAGGAGGCAGACTCAGGCAAATCTCTGTGAGTTTGAGGCCAGCCTGGTATACAAGAGCAAGTTCCAGGACAGGCTCCAAAGCTACAGAGAAACCCTGTCTCAAAAAAAAAAATCCAAATAAACAAACAATCCAGTCAGAAAATTGTTGGTTACTGCATGACACGGCAGTCATGCCACTATTGCACCAATGTCCACATATTGCCAGTCTGATTGTATTGCAGCATGCACGGTCTAGTGCTGGATGAGACCATTGATATAGTCCTCCCCCCTCCGCCCAGCCTAAGATTTCTCACCATTTCCAAATAGTTATTATCATAACCTTCAAGGTCTGTTGACAATACATATGTTATTTATACTCATGATTCTTGCAACTCCCAGGCAAGGTTGGTATAGTTGCTATTAAAATAACTGAAACACAGAGAGTAAAGACACCTACTATGACACAGTAAACAGAAGAGGTGGTAAAGGTGGGGAATCCGGTTCCAGAACTCATATACTCGACTCTTGTGCCTCATTACTTGGGCCGTTCTAAGACTGTCACTGCTTCTAAATGACTTTAATAAAAACTAAGGTGTTCTCTCTCTCTCTCTCTCTCTCTCTCTCTCTCTCTCTCTCTCCTTCATGTGTGTTCAGGTGCATGGTATGAAGTTTATTTTTCCTCACCTAACTTGTTGAGGCAAGTCTCCTTTTTTCTGTTTCTGCTGCTATGTTGTATACTCCAGGCTATCTGGCTCGTGAACTTCTGGAGATCTTGTGTACCAATGTTTGTGTGTATGTGTGTGTATACACCAAGTAGTTGCTTTAAAATAAGTTGTTTATGATTTGTTATCTTTATGTGTTTGATTTATGTACCTGTTTTATTTGCCTATATAACTGTGGTCACTTAAAGATTTCTCAATTGAAAATGGGTCACGAGTGGGAAAAAGTTGAGGAAGCCCTGGCTTATATAGTTGGGTTTCTTTGTAAGGCAATTTCCAAATGAAGACTGAGACTGTTTCTTAGAGTCTGTCTTGATTTGTTTGGATGGCGTGATTTTGTTAGTTTCCTTAGGGTGGTGCCTGGTACATAATAGGAGCTGAGTAAATAAATGCTAAATTAATGGTTTAAAAGTGGAATAAGGAGCCAGCAAGATGGCTCAGCAAGTAAAGGCCCTTGACACCACATTTGGTGACCAGAGTGTGGTCATGAGACCCACCCACATGTTGCACATGCTCACATACATACACAGCACACAAATATAGAATAAATATAATTTTAAAATGAAACAAATGGAATAATCATATTATTTAAATCTGTGGTGTATCTCAAAATGTCTTGTTTGTTAAGCCCAATTACTTGGAGGATTGAGAAGAAAGGATATTTAACTTTATTTAGGTGTAGGGTAGTTACTTCCTCTTGGATAACACAAGTCATTATCTGTTGTTTTGAGGTTCTCCAGGTAAGGTGAATTATGTGCATATGATTATATACATTGTTGGTATATATAATTAAGAATACATCTTTATGTGTATGTGTGCCTCGGTTATGAACTTGGATACATTTTAATATTAGAATTGTATGTCCTTCGTGGTCCATTCACATTGCCTGTTTGTGACGTACCTTTGTGAAGTGCTGTGTGATTGATTTCAGACAATGTGGGGCTGGGGGACCTCTTCCTGACTCGTGATTATTCAGTTTTGAAACCCTTTCAGTTAGTGTTGTAGCTGATTCTAAACACAGAAGTGTTTCAGAGCAGCTAGGTTTGCACTGCTGCCGTGCACAGCGTGGTCAGCCTCTGCTGCTCTTACAGGTGCTTGCGAGGGGACTTTGGCTTGCTCCACCTGCCACCTTATCTTCGAGGATCATATATATGAGAAGTTAGATGCCATCACTGATGAGGAGAACGACATGCTTGACCTGGCTTATGGACTCACAGACAGGTGAGTAGATTTTGTTGGTTAGTTTTGTTTGAGGATCAGTGTCTTAACTGTTGATCAGGGTGGCCTCACACTCGTGCGTGCTGAGATCACAGGCATAAGGCACACTGTGTCTGACCTGTGAGGTGAGTGACAACCTGGGGAAGTCTGCATTATCTTCCTTCGGGTCTAAGATCACACCACGAGTAGAGTAGAGCAGATAGAGAACAGGCACGAAGTTTGAGCATCCTCTGGGAGTGTTTCTCTTTCACTGTCCACACTTGCCCCCTGTGAAACTTTCCTTTTACAAAAGTCAAGAAATTAACTGGTAGTAATAGTTTCTAATCCCAGTACATCTTTAGTCTATTTTTTTTTGCCAGGAATTAATATTTATCATAATTTCGTAGGATCGAATTAAATGGAATGCTTTTTATAGTATTCTTGAAGAACAGATTTGATAATTGAACAAAATTATAGTGGAAATTTTACCTGTCTGAGAGAACTGAGTTTTCAAAGAAACTTAATATATAATAGTAATTATGTTAAGGTGAGTAGTTCTTTTTCTAGGTGTATATTAAAGTAAATTAATCAGAGCTTATTAATTAGTAGGTAGTTTCTCTTAAACACGGTGAGCTTTGCAGAAGTAGATGGCATTAGTGATACTATTTTTTAATTATCCAGTCTTAGAGTCAAGGAAGGCTTGTCCTTGATTGACTGTTTCAAGGCATAATTAAGGAGGCTTATTTCTTATTGAGAGTGGGTTTTGTTTAACTGTATTTTGCTACCTTAATGAAGAATAGCTTCTTAAAAACTTCATTAGCTTACAAGATCTAGGTTTCATGTGGTAAGAATAAATTTTAAACAGTTATAGGGATAATAGTTTTATTAATTTCACTTTGTTTCTTTTATAGTTCATCTCTCCCTATTTTCTGTTCTGTTTGGTTTTGGATGCTAAGGACCTTGCCCATGCTAGACAGAGTACCCTGTCTGTTAGTGAGCTATGTCCTGGCCTCCACCCCCCTCTTATGAAAGTGAGAGCATCATACCTTTTACATCCAAGCTGCCTCCCTGATGCGTAGCTGCACTCTGGCCCCGGGGTGCTTGTTCTCCCCTCACTGTGCCTACAGCGTTCTGCTTTGCTTCGCTGACAGTGGCTTCACGTTCTGAATCCTCATCCTCTAAAGGGTAGCCTTGTTTCACTCACCACATGTGAACATGCTGAGTACCTGACTATCGCCCTATGACCTCCCAAGTCCTGTAGTTATCTCTGCTGCCTTGCCATGGTGTTAGCTCTTGCAGATAGAGCATGGTGCATACCTGAGTATTGTCAAGACTGTTTCTGATTCTACAGAGAACAACTACTGATGGGAGGGGATTTTTTTTTTCTTCCAACCATCAAAATTTTCTATAGTTAAACTGACTTTCTTACTGCAGGAAGTGGTGCCTCACTATATCTAAATTTATGTGTGTTGTCCTGGCTATTTTTTTTTTGTTTTTTCCAACAATCTTTTTCTGTAGCTTTGGAGCACGTCCTGGCACTAGCTCTTGTAGAGGAGCCTGGCCTTGAACTCACAGAGATTCACCTGCCCCTGCCTCTGGAGTGCTGAAATTAAAGGCATGCCTCACCACCGCACATCCCTGGCTACTTTTTAAACTATAATTCTCCGTGTAATTTTTCTTTCTTTCTTCTTTTCTCCTCAGAGGAGGTGCTGGGGATTGGATTGTATATTAGGCGAGTGCGCTGTAACTGAGCCACACCCCAGCTCATTGCTTGTCCTTGTCCATACTTCGCAGCAGCAAAACAGAAGTGCCTACTTTGCCTCAGCCTCAGATGTTCTCTTCACGTTCCCTTGGTTCTTCCTTAGTGTTAAATCTCACACACCCTCCAGAGTCTACTCTAGACACCATGTGTCCTGTCCAGGGCTTCATTGTTCTGTTTGTATGGTACTTGTCAGTCTCACGTGGTAGCTATCAGTTGTCTCATCTCATCTGTCTGATAGACAACAGCAGTTAGTCTCTTCAGCAGTCCTGCAAGAGAGCCTTTTCTTCTCCATCTCGATGATCAGGTTAGGAAAGAACAGAAAGTTGCCTGTGAACACACCATGTTAGTCCTGGCTTTCCACTGGCTGGTTTTCTCTAAATCCTGTGCTTTCCTCAATGCCTCTGCTGTGCCCAACATGTAACAGGTAAAAGCACTGAATTGAGTACTCTGTGTATACCGATTAACGTGTACCCATTGGCATTTAGTAAAATAACCATTGACATTTAGTATTACACCAGGTGACATTTAGTACTGTACCATTGACATTTAGTGGTAGAAAATTTTACCATTATACATCCAGTAAACGTTTGGATCCTTTAATGCAGCTAATGCCTTCAGAACATGCTATGTCGAAGAGAGTTTTATCGTAAGATTAACTTTTTTTTTTTTATAGTATTGGGGACTGAACCCAGGGCCTTTCACATGATAGGAAAGTACTTTACACTGAGCTGGGTCTCAGCCCTTTATTTACTTTTTTTATTTTGAGACTGAATTTAAGTTAAATCCAAGCTGAAATTCTTACTCTTTTACCCAGGCTGGCCCTCAACTTGCATTCCTCTTTTCTTAACCTCCTACGTGGCTGAGGTGACAGGCACATGCCACCAGACCTAGCCTAACATGTAACTTCTGTGTACTTCTAAGAGAAAAGAAAAGTGCTGCTTATTCCAGTCTGCACTGTGGTGCCTCTTCATTTAATACACTGCGTGCATTAGAAGCTTGTTCAGACATAGCCGTACACATGGGCCACATTTGTTGAAAACAGAGCGTTCAAGGAAAGCATGATTGGTAGCAGTTTTGTGAAAGAAAGAGGGGAAAATGAAATGATGGTCAGTCTTCCCATCACGGATTACACGTTTGTATCTGCTGGGTTCCTCTGGTGCCGGTGATTGTGATTTTGTAATCCTTTTGGATTTATTTTGAAAGGGTTAAAAATTTAACACCTTTGGAGTCAACGGCATCCTTCTCTTACTTAGTTGGAGACACTGATGTGTCTAATGTGACCAAGCCCACAGCTGTGACACAGCAACTACTTCGCATTGTAGCAGTGACTGTAAGATGCCATTGGCCTGAAGATGGACTTTGATTTCAGAGATGTTAAAAATATGGGGGAAATACATTCTTACAATTGATGGTTTGAATCTATGAATTTCGTTTTTGTCTTAAAGAATTTTGTTGTTATTGTCTGGCAGGATCTCATATGAGGATGGTCGTGAACTCCTAACCTGGCTCTGTCTTTTAAGTGCTAGGTTTGTAGGTGCTTGCCACCATGGTTGTTTGGTGCTGACCTTCTGCTACCTCTAGCTGGCTTGGATAGGGTGTCTGCTTTGGCCTAATGAAAACGTGAAAGATTAGCAAATTCTCCAACTGCTTTGGGCAAGAAAGTATAAAAATATCCTAAACAACTACAGGCTTCTGAATGACATGTATCCAATATTAAACTTAGCTTCCTTCCTTTCCTTGCAGGTCACGGTTGGGCTGCCAAGTCTGTCTGACCAAGGCTATGGACAATATGACTGTTCGTGTGCCTGAGGCAGTGGCGGATGTCAGACAGTCTGTTGACATGAGCAAGAATTCCTAAGATACATTAAAAAAAATATTTTCATGAAATTTTTACCTATTTTTATAATTATTTCCCAGTATAATTAAATGATTACACAACAGAATATATTTCTCTGTGTGGGTAACTGTGTTGTCTTAATTCAGTTTGTAGTACTGAAAGTCTTCAGTTTTTATTTGATTACATTATTAAAATGTCAGTTTAATTTTAGAAGCTAGCTGATATAATAAATTACTTACACATTTTACCATGAGTGTGTTCAAGTGATGTTAGTAAAACATTATTGTGTAATCTTATGTCTGCTTTTTTAAGAGGTAAGTTTAAAAAGAGTGTCGCTGGGGATAGATACTTAGATCAGCAGTTAAGAGTACTGGCTCTTCTTCCAGAGGACCCACTTCAAATCCTAGCACCCAGTGGCTGCTCATAAGGGTTTGGAACTCCACTTTAGCCTCCACAGACACTGCATGCATTTGATGTATAGGTATATGATCAGGTAAAACATTCACACACATGAAATAAAAATTTCAAGAAACAATTTTTTAAAAAACTTGTCACTATTCTTGTTTCATGTAGGCAGTAGATCTCTACATAATGTAGTTTGACCAGGGTGTAACCAGATAATCTGTGCTTCTGGCTGTCAGTTTCATGTTTAGACAGAAGCTGGCGGGATTATGAAGATCTTAGTTGAGGTTGGCAGTTACAGAGGACGTCATGCAACCTCTCAAACAGTACGGACACAAGATCCAAAACTGGCCAATTGATAGGCCTGCTGGGACCACTGCAGCTGGTCCTGTACTTCATGATAATGGCGCCTGTATCATTAGCTGTAAACTGTTCTGTTCCTATTGTCCTCTTGCTACAAGGACCGTTCAGAAACTCCACTTCAGGATATAAAGGGTAAGGAGAGCTAACCCTGTTCAGTGGAGATCTTGATCCTGGGGTTCTCTAGTGTGCCTTAACTTAGGACTAATTGTCCTCCTTAAAGTTTGCCTGGAATACATCTCTCAAATCCTGTGCCACCCATCCCTCTCAGAAGCCTCCACTCACCTTTGGGTGTGTCCTTTTGTACTGTAGTAAAATTTGTTTACTACAAATCAGTTTGTTCTTTGTCTTAAAGTCCTTTTTTTTGGTGGTGGAAAGAACTTGGAAACACTGGGAAGAGGCCTCAGTCTGCTCTGTCTTGGAGAACCCACTCCTCAGCCTTCATCTGCAGGCAGCATTATGTATGTATTTAAATGTATATGTGGGTGGAAAAGACACTTAATTGCTGAGTGAAACATTTAATGTATATGCTTTTATTTTTTTTTAAACTTTTTTTTTTAAAGCAAAGTGTGGAGCTTTTCTTTCACTTTAATTATTTTGTTTTGGTTTCATTTGTTGGGTTTTTTTATTGTTGTTTTAAGTTTTTTAAGATTTATTTATTATGTATGAGTGCCTTTATGACAGAAGTAGGCATCAGATCCCACCATGTGGAAATTGAACTCAGGTCTTCCGGAAGAACAGCTAGTGTTCTTAACCTTTGAGCTGTTGCCCCTTATAAAAAACTTTTTTCATTTTACATGCCAATACCAGTTCCCACTCCCTCCCCTCCTCCTGCTCCCTCCACTTCCCCCCTCATCTCACCCCAATCCACTCCTGGGAGAGGGTAAGGCTTCCCATGGGGAGTCAACAAAGTCTAGCACATTGCTTTGAGGCAGGACCAAGGCCCTCCCCCACTGTATCTAAGCAGAGCAAGGTGTCCCTCCAAAGAGAATGGGTTCCAAAAAGCCAGTACAAGCAATAGGGATAAATCCTTGTCTTACTGCCAACGGCTTCACAGTCTGCCCCAGCCATACAACTGTCACCCACATTCAGAGGAAACACTTAATTTCAGACAGTAAAACCTATAAATAAGTATTCAAAATTTTGATTCAGTAAGAAGTATAATCTGAACATAGAATAACCCTGACAGAGAAGTGTGGTATCTGCTGACTAAGCTAGGGAATAAATGGAATTGGATGTCTTTATTCTGTTTCAAGAGGAGTACTCTATCTTTGTAATCTTTTGACAATAATGTGCAAATTGTTTCCATTTCACAGAATGGGATTTAATGAATTACTTCTGCGTCTCCTCAGCCATGCCATATGATCAGGGTGCCATGTTGCATGGCCCAGGGGACACCGTTCTCTCTCTCCTTGTGCACAATCTGTCAACGGTGTGCAATAGTCCCAGAAACTAACGTGTATCTTCAGCACACTGATAGGCAGTTGTGTATGAAAGATGTTTGCCTCCTTATCTAAACCAAAAATAAATTCTTCAGTGTTCACAAAGTGTACACAGTGTGCTCTGCATTGTGAGGCCACATGGTGCTCTTTATAGTTAAACACCAAATAGCTTTGGAGAAAAACAGAATAGAGGGGTGGGGAGGAGAAGCATGAGCTTAATGTGTATGGGCGTTTGCTTACATGTAAGTCTGTGTTCCATATGTACACAGTGTCCATGAAAGCCAGAAGAGTTGGATCCCTTGGGACTAGAGTTAGAACTGTGGGCTACCACGTGAACACTGGAGTCAAATCAGGTCCTCTGCAAGAGCAGCTAGTGCTCCTAACCACTGAGACTCCAGAGCTCTCCAGTCTCTGACTACTCAGTAGCTATTAAAAGATGACCAAGTGACGGTGGGAAGCAAAAAATGGTAGAAGGGATAGGGAACTTACTGGAGGGAAGAGAATGGGGAATGGGTTTAATTAGAACACGCATGTGTGAAATTCTCAAAGAATAGGAAAAAAGGATGACCAAGAGAGTGCCCTCCAGGAGTGCAAAATGATGAAAAATGTAATGTGTGTATGTACACATGATTTCATTGAACCAAACTGATCAATTTGCCAAATGTTTTTTTTTTTTGTTGTCGTTTTTACTTATTTTTAATTAGTGTATAAATAGAGACTAGGAAGATGTGAAGCATCTTGTGTTTGTTTACCGCTAGATGGCTGGAGTCCTTTTTGTGTGGAGCCCGCTGTGAGTATTTGTGTTCTACAGAGATCACCCAAACTCCCCTTTCCGGAGCATTCCCACACTGATCCACATGACGGTGTAAACCACCTCCCATGCCAGGTTGTAAAAGTTCAGACCAACAGTGTGTACTGTATACAGCCTAACCTTATCAGATGGCGCACACTGAAGAGTTGGTTTAGATAAGGAGTTTTCTAGTGTGAAGAAAGACCCCATCTGTCTTTGAAACGTGCATTCTAGGTGTTAGTGCGTTGACTCCTCCATTGGGATAAACGAGTTTTCCCTAAAGCTCAGTGTCAAACAGTTATCTTTTGTTTCTTCAGACAGCTCCTGCAGCTCAGGAATGTAGACGGCAAGAAGTGAGCTGTCTGCCACCCTGTGTCGGTCCACGCTGTGGGTTAGAGCTGAAGTGTGCTCTCCTTGTCTGCCTTTCTGTTGCCGCAATAAAACATTGACCAGAAGCAACCTGGGGAGGAAAGGGTTTATTTTATCCTACAGCTTACTTTCCATCAGGAGGGAAGCATAGACAGGAAGTCAAGGCAGGAATTGAAGCAGAGACTGCAGAGGGTCAGTCTGCTTACCGATTGGTTCGGCTGCCTTGCTGATGCAGCCCAGGTGCACCTGCCCAGGGATGATGCTGTTTATAGTGGGGTCGGCCTTCCTGCATCAATTAGCAGTCAGAAAATGCCCCCGTCCACACACATCCACCGGCCAATCTGATGAAAGCCGTTCCTCAAATGAGTTCCTCTTGCTCCAGGTGACTCAAGTTAAAGACAGCTAACCAGTCTTGGTGGAGTACCATCTGTGGACATAGCCCTCGTGACTGGGTGACCAGCAGGGTTAGCCAGGGCTTTTGGCAGAACACGTTGGCCGGAACACCCACAGTGTGACCTGGCTTCCTTACAAAGCAGAGGCTGAGCTTTAAGGCCAGGCACACTGCAAGTGGTGCACACTACAGGCAGAGATACTGGACTTTGAAGAAAACAGCATCCTAAGCTTTTTAAGAGAAACTACTTGTTTATCTTGCATTATATTTAGAAATACCTGTGTTGACTGTATTATGATGGTTTGTTTCTTTAACTCATACCACCCACCCCCAGCCCCCATGACTATTGATTGAAAGGAAGCAACAATGGATTCCCTTTGAGTGCTGCATAAGGCTGGTTTCCTTTTATTAGTGATTTTGCTTCTTCAGACAAGTGTCTTCCTTTGGTGGTGTACTTTATAATTGTGGCAGTGTGCTAATGCTTAATATTATATTTGGATTTCATGATAAACCCACAACCTGCAATTATATAAGTGCTTTAGAACAACTCTGTGGCTTTTTTTTTTTTTTAAAGAAAACTATCCTAGGAATTTTTGAAACCTTTTACTAATGTTAACTGTGACCATATTCTTATTTTTTCTTAAGGGACGGCCTCCATGTTTTCCTGGTGGCTATGTTGTGTCATATGGTGGCCCACATGGCCAATGTAGTGGTCATCCCCCCATTTCACTTGAAACATTTTCTAAGGGAGACACAGACTGTGTTGTCCTAGCTTTTCCTTCCTTTCCGCTACTCCTCTTAATGGCCATCCCTAAGCTGCCTGGAATTCTGTGGGAAACCACGTTTTGAATAGAGTTTGTACACATAACTTTCTTGTGTATGGGCTAACTTACTGTGCTGTAAAACCCAGAAATAATGTGCTGTGTGTTCACTCCTGAAAATAGTGTGTGAACTTAAGTGTAGACCACAGCGAGACAGAAAGACTGAGTTTCCTGTTAGAGAAATATTGACGACTAGAAATGTGATCTTGGCGACGCAGCAGCAGGGATTTCTTCATGTGTCAACGTGTCACGTATCACGTTTTCCTTATCAGAGTCAGATTTCCTTCTGTTTATAACATTCTGGATGCTAACAAATTAGATAACCACCTTGCAAGAGGAAGGCATGGTCATTAGCAGACAAACACGTGGAAACATGTATAACAGGACTGAAATGGGGAGGGTTTTTCTGTTGTTTATTTTATTTATTATTTATTTATTTATTTTTTGAGACAGGGTTTCTTTGTGTAACAGCTCTAGCTGTCCTGGAGCTCCCTCTGTAGACCAGGCTGGCCTCAAACTCTGAGAAGTTTGCCTG